ATTTGTTTGGTTTCTTCTTGGAATGATCACCGTAAGTTTATCCGCCATTTTATATAGCCCTATCTAACTAAATTCTATTTCAGTTATTTCCGTTTTTTATTTCGTTTATTTGAGTATTTAATTACTGGTTTGGATCGGCATATGGTTTGAATATATTTATGTAAAGCTGATTTTCAGACCGTAAGTTGTTTTTTTTATTGAGTATCTGTCCTGAGAACTATTTTTTATTTATAGAGTAACTACCACATGGTACTCAGTAACTACCACATGGTACTCAGTAATTACCACATAGTATGCAGTAATAATGCAGTAATTATTGTATGTTTCACCCACTTTCTTTTTGTATGCTGAGCTTAAGACAGTGTTCCTGACATTACAATCGTTCTTTTGGCTGATATCGAAGACTTCTCCTGCCATAGTTATCTGCATCCACTTCTGTTAGTCTGGAGAATACCTAACTACCTGTTTACATCATAAGAAACTATATACAGATAAGTCTCTCTCTTAAGTTTGATACACAAGGTACGCTTTTATTTTATAATTTTTGAGACAACAGATTTAATAACCTGGTAAATTATCACTATTTATCCCACATTTTGTAGTCAAAATTATTTTTTTATTTAACGTTATAAGTTATAATTTGATTCGTACAGTACACTCTTACTTAGCTATGATATTTTATATGAAAATTATTAACACGTATTCATTTTAAAGGTTTTTGTACACGACATGTTTCGAAACATCATCGTATTGAGACATACATAAATTTCACCTGTTTTTATTAAGTAGCTTACTTAGTTCAAAGAATGCAGTTACTAAATTCAAATCTATTTAAAATAACTTGCGGTTTTATTCGGATCACTGTGACTAATTGATGATACTTGTGTTTGTTTTCAATAAATGTTTAATGTAGGATAGTTATTTCTGACTTTTATTCCTGATAAACATAATAGACCCTTAATGCTGTTGATTACTTTATTTTAGCTATGTTGTGATATCGTATTTTTCTTTTTGGTTTCTTACTTTACCACTCTCATAAACAAAGTAAGTGGCGCCCTTTTCACTGTCTTTGACCATACCTATTTGAATTCTTAACATCAATATTAAAATCTCTGCAGCCTATATATTATCATTTTTTTATTTTTTAACAACATTAGAAAGTCACTGTGAGTCAGAAGCCTTACCTACGAACCCGGCTTTCCTCTAACCCTGAGCAACGGATTCTTTTTTCATTCTATTTGGGTAACGACAGAAAAGTCGCCACAATATTATTGCATTTTTGGCTTCCTTTCAAATCACTTTATATAATTCTAAGATCTGAGTAAATATATTTCGATAATTTTAGAGATATTAATAAATTAATAAAAATATATATTTTTCAACCTTCCTTAAAAATATATTACAAATACAAGAACCTGTTCTAAAATTTTAAAAAAACCTTTGATAGATCAGCATAATTCTGAAATATTTGTTTTTGCTGATTTCCAGTTCTACAGACTTTTATACAGATTCACTCCAATAAAATTAACTAACATTATGACGCGTTCCATGCTAACAATGCAATGACACATAGTTTATTAAGGATTATTCAGCTTACACCGCGTATTATTCGAGGACAATCGCCATTTTACTGGAACGCCGGACCTCTAATAAAGCGCCACGTGACCTTCTCCAAACATTAAGCCAAGTCTTTTAATTCGTATTAGAGCCCTATTGTGACATGAAGGCACGCACTGCTGGATTGAGAGCAATTAGAGTTTTCAGTAGCAGCGGTGAGCGATGTATAAGCTTATCTTTCCGCTTAGTTGACTTCGAAATGCCATAAAATGTACAGCAGTTCTTTTTAATTAGGGTCTGGTAAGCTATGAAATGTATTGGAATTAAGTGTATTTTTTGTAAATTTCATAATTTTTAGATTATGAGACGCATTTCTTACTTTTTAAGATTTTTTCACAATTAAATTTTGTAATCATTTTCAGCTTATTCAACCATTTCCAATTATGGTGTAGCCTCCCTCACTCTCTTTGTAGTTGAACCCATTGTTGTCTATTGTTAGCTATGTGGGTCTAAGTTATCCCTGTTAATTTTCTAATATAATGGTCCCATCTCAGGTTCGGTCTTCTTCTAGGTCTTATAATTCCTCGTGGGTACCATGCTGTCATTTTTGTAGTCCATCTGTTGTCCGTTTTTCTTGCCAGGTTTCCTTCCCATTGCCATTTGAGGGATTTGACTCTGTGGATGATATCTATTTCCTGGGTCTTTTGTCGTATCTACTATATTCTTTTATGGTCTCTTTTGGTTACTCCCAGCATATTTTGTTCAATTGAGCGTTATGCAATCTGCAGTTTCCTTATGATGTCCCTTTTAAGTTTACAGATTTTGCATGCATAGGTCATGACTGGTAGTACACATTGGTCGAATGTTCTCTTTTTTGGATAGAATGGCATTAAATTTATTTTTATTATATATTTTGAATTTTCTACTATACATTTTAAATAGTAGATTTTGTAGGTAATTTTTGAATAATATATTTTGAAATTATGATTAAAATATACATGAACTAGAAATCTCGTAAACTCGTGCTACCATAAAAAATTAGTGCTGCTTGTACAATATAAATCTAGGCAAAGCTTAAAATAAAACAACTAAATTTAGAGAATTGTCACTGGTTGTAAACAGAGTTTGCTGTAGAACTTGGCTTAAATTCCATGTTTATTAGAGCAATCCATTTTAGTCGTTTAAGCCTAGCTTAGAACAGAAAAGAACTTGTAATTTTATCAGTAAAGAGAGAAATTTTGTGTATTTGGTTTATATTAAAAATTGTGTTTTAATTGTTAAAATCAAATTGAAGTTAGAAATTGTGAATGATGTTATCGTTGGAGGACTACTAAAGCTATAATTTAAAATTCTTTTCAAAAAGGGCAAGAGTGTCCCAAATAAATAAAAATATCAGAGATTTATTTAAAATGTCAATATATCATGGGCATATTGTTATATGAGGTCTAAATTATAAGAAAATGCATTTTCTACGAAAACCTGAAGAGATAGGTAAAATTGGTGTACTACAACTTGATAGACAATTAAATTGTGCGTCCGATTTTTGTATAATATTATACAGGGCGTTCCATTTAAATTAAACAAGTTATTGCCGTTTAAATCTAGTTATTATTTAAAATAAATTTTTAGACACTCTGTATGAGGTACTATAAATTTTTATTATTGCAACACAAAACTTAGTAAATAGAAAATTTCAGTACAATATTTGATTTTAAAAACTTAAACACGCCTAGAGCAATAAAGCATTAAAATTGTTGAATACAATCACCGCACCGGTACGCAAAACGGGCACCTTAAAATATTCATGTAATTTAAAGTTTTATATATTGTGTTCTAGTTGACCGATTTGGTTATTTTTTAAGTAATTTGTAGCTAAATTATTTGACTTTTTAGTACCTTTTTCTAAATTAAAAGTAAAAGTTGCCATCTGTAAATTATAAAAGGGAAAACAAAATGTTGATATTTTGGTGAAAGTTTGAAACACCCTGTGGAGTACGTTGAATATAGAATATAGAATGTTTAGGAGGGGAGTTAATCATTGCGACCTTATAGATCTATTGTGTGTTCCCCATCATACAGTCCCAGAGCTTTAACAAAAGCCAGTATCTAAGACGGCTCCACAGAGGCCAGCTCTCCTTCCTTGACATCAGACGTACCAAGGTTCATGGTACGAATGGTCGTCGTCTCGGTGCACTCAGTGATAAGGTGTTCTGGTGTTTTCCCATTTTCCCCACAAAATCTGCATTCGCTGTTGTTTCTTAGTTTCAGCCTACTGAGGTGTTCGTTGAGGAGACAGTGTCCTGTTAGAAACCCCGTGACAATCCGAAGATTGATTTTACTTAAATCAAGGAAAACCTTTGATTTTTCTCGGTCGTAAGTTCTGAGGAACTTTTTCGAGTGTCTTAGACCGTTGGAGGACACCCATTCCAAGTTACGGATGGAGTCTTCCAGATTCTTTAGTTCCGCTTTCAGTTGGTTCCCGTTTGGAAAACAGAACGGTTCGGGTCCAGTTATTGGAGTGTTCGCTCCTTTTCTAGCTAGATCATTTGCTTTTTCATTGCTTTCTATTCCTTGGTGAGCAGGCACCTAGAGTAGGAGGACTTTATTTTCTTTGCCTAATTTGTTGAGCTTCTGTAGGCATTCTTTGACCAACTTCGAATTGATAGTTACTGAGTTGATCGCGTTAAGTACTGCTTGACTATCGGATAGGATGGCAATTTCCTGTTTTCGATAGTTCCTGTGTGGAGTACGTTAATAAAGTAAGAAATTTAAAAATATCATTTTATTATCTAGGTACGTCTTTTCTCGATACTTTGTTTATGAGTTTGTTATGTTTATGAATTCATCTCATTAGTTTTAGTTTTTTGGAAATAATCGTTTTTGAGAGACAGTTGAGAGACACAACATTTTTTGGTATTTTTTACATTAAAACCATGCCTTTGGTATTGGTCCTAGTCAACAGACCTGTAAAATAGTGTTTATGGTTATCTCTACCATGATCAATTAAAGCAAGAATAGCCGATATTTCAAAACTTAAAACCATATCTACTAGAGTAAACGTTAATAAACAATAATATTATGACTTTTCAATGACAGTGATATTACAAAAACAATAAACACTATTTTATAAGTGTGTTGATGAGGACCCAAAACCAATGTTAAAATTGCGGTAAATCGTAACTGTCTTATTCAAATGCAAATATCTCCAATAAAAATGAAGCTATTGAGATGAATAAAAAAACACACTATCGAGAAAAGACGTACCCAGATGATAAAATTATTTTTAAATTTCTTGCTTTGTTAACATATTCCACAAAAATGTTGTAAAATATGAAAAATATCAACTTCTCTTTACCATGCGCATTTATACGCGGCGTCCGATAGCCGCGTGCCGACGCTCAAAGCGCGACGCTCCTTGACGCTCATTCGGTATCGCACCGACGCCCGTCACACTCGCGGACGCCCGTACCGCTCTATCGCACAGTAGCGCCGACGTCGAACTTTCACCGGGGATATCAACGCGGAAAAACTTGATTAAAAACTTATATCGTCCAAACAACGAAACATATCGAGAACTTTTCATACTTTTATATCGACTTTTTCGATTGTTATTACCGTATTTATAAACATATATCACGCGCGTGTTGTTTACAAACAGAAAAATGTGTTCAAATTACTTCAAGTTATTGTGACAGAAGGTTGTAGTGTATGTGCATGTGACTAGTGTGTTTATATTTAGCGTCTAAACGAGTTGTGTGTTGTCGTTTAACATTTTACTGCGAACTAAGTAAGTAATGCCATGAGAATCTAATTTTTTTCACTTTATTTTAAATTGCGTTAAAAATAATTACTGTCATTTTTGTTATGTTTAAATTTGTTTGAATATATAAATATATTAGAACAATCTCACTAATATATTTTTTTTTCAAACGTCACAAAAGTGTTAATTTTTCCGAAGTGATTGACAACATAATAAAGCAATTTTAACGCCTAGGTATAAAAGTAAAGCACTTTTACGCCTAAGCATAAAAGTACGAAAATATATATTATTAAACTGACATAAAGCGTCACATTCAACGAGCGTAACCATAGTTTCTCGACGTATAATTACTTAAAAATTATTTAACGGGTTTAGAATTATTTAAAAAATTATTTGTGACGTTTTAAGAAAATAGCATGCTCTATTTGGAGTAAAAATGACTTTCTGTCCTCGTCTGCGCATCAAACGTACAACCTCGCCACAAATAGTATCATTTTTACTCCTAATTAAACAATATACTACTATATTATACATAACCTTTCTTTTTATGAAGCACGTTTTTTATTAACTTTTTGAAGTTTCTACTTATCATATAATTAATATTTTTTATTTGTCAAGCCAAATTAGTGTGAATTTACACAGTCTTAATATTTTTTTATTATTATATTAACAGAAAAAAATTGTTAAAAATATTTCTAGTTATAGTAACGCAAAATAGTGTGTATGATTCTATAGACCGACTTTTTTACTTCTGTTGTGTGTAACCATATGGCTAGCTTCCAAAATGTAAAAACATGTTTGAACAATTAATTTTTAACATGCCAATTTACCTCTGCTATAATTGTCATAGGCGTCAATTTATTTTTATAAAAAAATATTACTTCCTTTAGATATTATACCATGCAATTGAAAAAAAGCGGCGTCAAAGATGACTGGGGACTGATAATCGCTGAATATTTTGGCAAGGTCTATCTCTAGACGCCATTTATTAAAAAATGACATAAAATTTGTCAAAAATTAGCGCTAATTATAGAAAGATTAAGAAAGGATAGAACGTTTCCAGACACACAAATCTATTTTCAAAAATTAATTTATGCTACATCATTTAAAAATAATTCTTACTCAGTATTAAAATAAAATACAACCTTCTTGAGCCGAACTAGTAGTAAGTGTCATTAAAAAATAAAGAAAAGTACGGGCCAAGCAAATAACATCTAGGGCTTGACCTCGCCAAAATTATCATTGATTTTCATTCCCCATCCATCTTTGACGCCGTTTTTTTTTCGATTGTATAGTACCAATTTACTTTTGGTATAATTATCATAACACTTGTATACAAATAATAACACTTGTTTTTGACTTTATATGTAAATATAAGTTATATTGAGGTGTGTATCGCTCGGAAATAAATAGATATTTATGATGTATGTATACAAATTCTAGGTAGTTAAAATAACCTAACTAAGATTGCAGTATGTATGCACGTGACTTGTATGTGTATACTTAATTTAATCCCTAGACGAGTTGTGTGCTGTCGATTAATTTTATAACACTAATTAAGAGTCAAGTAAAGCATGCAAGACTTAACCGGCCAATTTAGCCACGATAAGAATAATTACTGTCGATTTTTTTATTAAACTGTAATAATATTCTAGTACAGTATAATATGAAACATAAAATATTATTTTTTTTATACACTCAACACATTTTGGGAATGTTGGTTTTGTTGATTAAATACTTATAGATCCCTTTATAAAATATTGTTCGTATTATTCAAGTAATCTGTACAGTGTTAACATTATATTTAATCCCACTTTTAACAAGTTATAACTTTTTTATTTTTAAAGATGAAACATTTATTACTTTGTTAGTTTTTTAGTTATGCTTCACTAAAACCCCTATAATCTGCTGTTTAATGAAAGTTAACAACTACATGCCAACTAACTACAACTATAACCAATAATAAAAAAGATATATAGCCCTTTAAAGTTTTGTACAAAACAAATTGCTAAATCTGTACAATAAAATGGTCACACCTTACTACTATTACAAATTATGTATATAAAATAATATATATTTAGCCATCTCATAATTTTTTAATTTATGATTCACGCTTCTTCTTGTTTAGATTTTTATTTTCTGTATTTTATTTTTTTATAATCTAGTTTATATTTATGACATATGCCCAACTAACTTGATTTAAGTTCATAATTAAAATTATACTTATTATAAAAATTGAAAGATCGAATACTTCGACTCGTGTATTATATAACACAGGATTATACAGTGAGTCTTAAATAAGTGCAAATATTTAGAGGGCTGGTAAATCCCGATAAAAGAAACATATTTTCTTTTTAGCGATTTCCAAATAAATTTAAAATAACCGAGTTATTTTACTTTGAAAATTCCCCCCAAAAAAATGATTTTTGCTAAAATTTTGAGGATCTTTTCTGGATTTTCTTTCTTCTGAATTTAATCTACTATCTATGTTGCCATATTATCAAGAAGTTATGTTTTTTAACTAAAAAAAATTTTTCCAAAAATTCCAAATTTTCATAAATTTATTTTTGCGAATAAAGTCTTATAATCGTGGTACTACGGTCGAAATATACTACCTCTGAAAATATTTGCGTTTATTTAAGACTCACCCCCTGTATAATAACTACATATTAAGTCGTCTTAAGAATTTTACAAAATATCATTTTAATTTTTATTTATTTACTTCAATTCTAAAAATTATTTATTCTGAGTTTTTTATACCTTTTCCAAAACTTTAAAATTTGTTTTTTAGATTTACTTCTGTAAATTCATCCATCATTCTAGTTTATTGTTTTCAAATTTTCAAGTAAAACTTGTAAAAATAATCTCCATCTACTCTTTTATTACTATTTACTTTAAAGTTTTAATTTCATTCCAAAAACAAAATAAAAGAGATTTTACTTATTCATGGTTTTAAATTACTGTTCAAATTAACTATTATTCTGAACTATATGGAAGAACATAAAATTCAAAATTTTATTATACCTCATTTACGTTATATATTATTTAGTTAAATTAGTTTATTTCTTTACTATTATACGGTCGCATTTTAATCAATGTGAATTTTAGTAATAAAAGTTTATTATAAAAGCGCTAGAAATAAGCAGAATAAAGATATCTATATTTATTTCATTTTCATTATGACTTATGTTTATTTCTCTTTTAATATCGTTTCTAACTGCAACCCTTTTTATTTAAATTAAATATTTATTATGTCGTAATTTTCATTTAACATAGAAAATTATTTTTACTGGCTTTAGCTAGTTAGTTGCTAAGTGGTTTTTTATTTGCTTTTATATAAAATAATATCCATTTTAACTGGTGTTATTATACAAATAAAAATGTTTTTGGTATTGTAGCATCAATAAAAAGTTTTCAAGCAGACATACAAATTTTAGTTTAATACAAAAGTAGATATTTTGGACTTTTATATGTTATTTTTAGAAGTATTATTTTCTTTTAATTGCTGTAGTACCCTATACTAAATATCAACATTACTATGTTAGCGTTAAGGTCTTAAGGATACTTGGCATGTTTTATATTATCACAATTTTAGAAGAAAAAATAAGACAGAATATCTCGCGTCTTTTATTCAAAGATTAAAACTAGATTAAAGATTTAAAAAACAGCTTTGTCATCCGCGAATGAAAGAATGTAGCTGAAAGTTGTTAAAACTTAAAAGTTTAGAAAGAAAGAAAGGGATTTCTTGTCTTATATAAAGTTTAGGTTTGCTTAATGTATATTTTAAAAATCCGCGAAATATAACTTGTTTTATGAGCTATAATCTTCTTCCTTCCAGTCTTTCGCCTTATATACTTTTTAAGAACTCTGTTACTTTACTTTTAAAAAAGGGAAAATGTATATCATTCTGTTAAAAAGTATTCTTCTTGAAATTTTTGTCAAGGTGAGTACCAATTTAGTTAAAAGTTACTTAAAAATTACTAATCTAATGAGATAAAAATCTTTAATAAATTAATAAATCTTAAATACTTTTTATTTGTCGGTTTTTATTGCAATAGAAAATTATCTAGTAAAAAAACTAAAATTTGGCGTTTCAAAGAAATCAATAGAAGCCTGTACTATTCAAGTTTTTTGTAATAATAAAAATAAAACAGAGAAATACGAAAGGAAACAAACAAAACTCTGTAATCAATAGGTATCTAAAAATATTAGATTATATTGAGTAAGTATAAATCAAAATTCGAATTAAAATTAGTGAATTTTTTCAACCAAACAAATTTCAGTTTTATTCAGAACCTCGCAATTAGTGGAATAAATGAGTAGTTTCAATTACACTTTATACTTTTTAGTTTACGATCATTCACAATGTTTAAAGAACACATCTAAAATTAATATAATATCCTAGCAACAGCTTGCGTTAGTCAGTTGTATCCATTGAGAAAGCCTAATATTTAGCTTATAAAATAATCAATTTTTGATTTCTAACAACAATTTCTCTTAGCGGAAGATAATCAAAGGCCAAAATGATATATCTTGCAAATTTTGAAGTATAATTAGTGGAAAAGTTAAAAGTTTGATAACTTTTTCTATTAATTGAAGATGTCTACCACTAATTTTGACGTTCTGAATGCTTACACTGAAATTAAAGGAACAATTGAAACAACTAAATTATTCCACTAATTGCGAGGTTCTGAATGAAGCTTTGGATAAAAGATTAAAATTAACATTCCTAATTTTTTGTGTAGAAATTTAAAATTGCTATGAATTTATAAATATAGATATATGTAGAACGTAGATAACGTAGGAGGTTGCAACACTGCAAAGTTTAAATACACCGGCACCGCGACCGTAGAGAAATCTCAAGGAAATGAAAAAAGTGACACTAAAAAGTATTTTAAAATTCCCGGAAAATGTCAAGAAAAATTTAAATTTCTCAACAATTTTTTTCGTAAAAAAAACCACAGGCGTGTTTCCGGTGTCGAAATATACTACGAATCGAATCGGTCGAATTTAAAATATCTGCACCT